CAGTCTGAAACTTGCGTGTAGATGGAGTTTTATTCCTGATGGAATTTTTACATTTCCTAAGTCCAGTTTTGATTGGTGTGAGAATGTACTCACTCTAATATTGTGGGACTGCTCTATGATAAAGTACTGGCACAATGTATGTAGAATTGAAGGTGAAATATTGATGCATACAGTCCCCTGTAGTTTAATGTTGATATTATTTGGTCTGCTGGAAAAAAAGTTAGAAAAGTAATATGGTTATTCATTGAGGAGAATACAATTATGGAAACCAGATTACTTTTAGCAAAATATTGGAAACAGAAAGCAATACCATAAGTGAACATTTGGCTTAGAAAATGTTGGTTTATTACATTAATGAAAAGATAGTGAATCTGTGCAAGTCGGTGTTTGTGGAAAGATCAAAACCTTTTATTGTCTATTTGAACAGAATGAAGAGTAAGAAGAGGGATATTGGGTTGAATTTGGTACAAAATTTGTGCTTGTGCTAAAACTCTTGCCCAGGTGAAAATGCAAGAAAAAGACGTGGCTTACATTAAATTAAACTTACCACTTGTGTTTCTGCTTGCACAAGATCTTGTGTGACCAGATTCTAGGCACTGTAATACATAAGGAGGAAAGGGTTATGGTGTTGCACAAGATATTGTACAGATGGAACAGTGCAAGTCTATGTTGCTGCTTGCACATCGTTGGATAAAGGGATTACTAATGGATGATGGGGAGATAGCAGAGAAGCTCATTGAATTTTTTGCTTCTGTGTTCACTATGGAATGTGTGGGGCACATACCCATGCCACAGCCATTGAGTGAAGAACTGAGTCAAATTGAGGTGATGAAAGATGAAGTTCTAGACCTATTGGGGAAATTAAAAACCAGTAATTCTCCAGATCCGGATGGCATAGCCCTGAAAGGGAACACAAATGTGAGATAGTTGATCTACTAACCCATACTAACAGCTTGCTGGGAGGGAGGTATAAATACCTAATATAATAAAGTAAATAAATATATGTAACCTATCACTAAATTTAGCAGCTGTTACCAGAAGAATGAAGAGTAGCAAATGTTACACCAGTTTTTAAAAAGGGGTCCAGAGGTTAACTAGGAAATTATAGGCCAGTCAGCATAACATCTGTCCCAAGCAAACTAGTAAAAACTGTAATCAAAGATAGAATTATTAGGCACATAGAGAAACAAAACCTAACAAGGGGAAATCAGCACAGCTTCTGCAAAGGGAAGTCCTGCCTCACCAGCCTTTTGGAGTTGTTTGAGAAAGTGAACAAGCATGTAGACAACGGTGACTCAGTACTTGGGCTTTCAAAAAGCTTTTGACAAAGTACCTCACCAAAGACTCCTGAGTAAACTTAGCAGTCATAGGATAAGAGGATGGGTTCTCCTATTGATTAAAAACTGGTTAAATGACAGGAAGCAAAGAGTAGAAATAAATGAACAGTTCTCACAATGGAGAGAAATAAGCAGTGGGGTCCCACAAGGATCAGTATTGGGGCCAGTACTACTAAATTTGTTCATAAATGATCTGGAACTAGGGGTCGGTAGTGTATTGGTGACATTTGCAGATGACACAAAATTATTCAGGGTGGTGAAAACCAAGGATCACTGTGAAGAGCTCCAAGAGGACCTCCACAAATTGGGTGAGTGGGTGACAATGTGACAAATGAAATTTAATATTGGTAAGTGTAAAGCGATGCACGTTGGGACAAAAAATCCCAATTTCAGGTATAAGCTAATGAGGTCTGGACTTGCAGAGACTGAGAGGGGAAAAGATCTTGGGGTTGTAGTAGATAGGTCAATGAAACTATCGACTCAGTGTGCTGCAGCAATGAAAAAGGCAAACTCTGTTAGTGATTATTAAGAAAGGGTATGAAAATAAAACGGCCAATATTATAATGCCCCTGTATAGATCGATGGTGTGGCCTCATTTGGAATTCTGTGTACAGTTCTGGTCACTATCTGAAAAAAGGCATCACGGAGCTGAAGTTTGGGTTATTACATTTCATTTCATAGTTTGGATGAAACCTGGGAGCTAGGGTGATAAATGGCAGCAGGTCATGGCTGCTAGAAAGCCATAGGAGAACACAGAGGTCATTTCGGGGGGGATCGCGGGGGATTACAGTTCCCCCGGGTGAGGTACGGGGGAGCACATGACGAAGCCCCGCCCCCTGCTTCTGGCCGCCCCGCTTCCGGCCCTCATTCAGCCAGGAGGAGGCAGGAGAAGAGGGAGGGTAAGTTGCTTCCTCCCTGCCTCTCCCCACCCCTGCCTGCCTGGGACCAGGGAGGGCCTTCGCGGGGCTTCCTTGCACTCCCGCCGGCCTTGCAGGTCCACCGTCGGGCCCCTCATGGGGCTCGGGAGTGGAGCTGCAAGGCCGGCGGTGGCAGCCAGGACCGTTGGGGGCGGGGTGTGTGGCCTTATGACACACTTCCAGTGATGTCAGGGGGTGTGGCCTTATGACACACTTTCGGTGATGTCAGGGGGTGTGGCATATGCTAATGAGTTATGCTAATGAGTTCCCCTAGCTCTTTTTCTACAAAACGACCCCTGGGAGAACATTTTGACTTTCTCATACCATTTTTGTATATATTTGACATGATGTTCCATTGGTTAATCTGTCATTAAAACCCTCTTAAGATACTTTTGCTTTTGTATGATGATGTTTCAAGCTACAGGAAATAAATTTAACTTTTAAAATATTTAAATGTCTGTTGTTAAAGTCTTGCTCTTTGATGTAAGGCAGTGCCAGGTCATACAGTTGTCCAGTTTGGCTTAACTGTGGCTTATACTTGATTAAATTTTGTTGGGTATATCTTTTGCAATGCCAATTCTTCCCTAAACTTCTGATTTTAGGTACTCATAATCCTGTTGTAAAATGGGTGAATGTATTCTTAATGTCATGGACGTGCTGAATTTCCCTTTTCTTAGATGAGGAGAGTGAAAATGAAAGGGACACACCTGTTGCCTTTTTATCCTTTGGCCAAAAACTAACTTTAGCTATTAATTCTAACTATGATGTCTTCACTCCAGAAAGTTACATGGTTATATGGTAGCTTTATTGGTTTCACTTGGACTTTAAATTTAATACCATTAGCAATTTTCAAGTCTTAACTTGTTTCATTACTTCATATAATATGAAGAGGTGCTTCAAATAGTACAGAATATTTTTGAACCACATCTCCTTTTGCTGAACACTTAAAAGGTGAAATGTGTGTTTGTAAACATTCTGCAGCCTATGCTTAATATCAACACCCAGTCATGGCAGCAAGAGTCATGGTTACTCCAATTGCAGAACCACATCCGTCTTTGTTGGGTACTTTGGAGATGGCATGATACAGATTCCTTCCCTGAATAATGAATTTTGAATGGAATGAGTTCATGGAATGGATTTCCTCGCTTTCCTCCTCCTGCCCTCCCCTGAAAAGATGTTTTTGAGGTACCCTCAGGAAGAGTGGAATGCATTATGACTAGCACAGGATGAAGGATAAGTGGAAATCAAGTTTTTACCCACGTGTGCGTGCTCTGTTGATGGAAGAGCTCAAACAAAAAGATGAGTCTGCAGATTTCCTCTTGAGCTGCAGTCCCCCACTTTCTGTTCCACTTTCAGGAGGCCCAAATCCATTCTGAAACACTTCCTGCATTTGTTTACACTGCCAGATAAATCACAAGCAGGCATACCTAATACTAGGTCGTTAATTGCAGGAATGACTATCAGATGTATGGATAGTGCATTGTAGGGGCAATCCTGGTGGAAATTTCTTCACAACTGTGTGTTAAAACTGAAAACGTGCCCTTGTATGAATCACTAGTCATCATTATAGGTTAAGAAATAATCAAGTGTTTGAAAACCACATTATCAGAAAAGCAAGTTTATCTTAAACTTATTGGTGGTTTTTATGAACATGTCCATTTGCGTTTGAAAATTTGTAATTTTCTTCTCCCAAATGTGTTGAGACTAGCTTTTTAGTATGAAGCTTCATAATCTATATTTCAGAGATTTATGTAGGGTAGGCTGTATGCAATGTGTGTTTGAGTTTTGCCATAGTTTGTAAGACAGTGTGCATATTGAGGATTTGTGTTTCTTCATTCAGGTATATGTTAAGAGCTGTTGGATTTGAGTGCTTTAGCTTTGTTATACTAAATCTGTAGCATAACAAATACTTTTTAGACAAAATCTTAGAAAGATTACTTTGGACTAAGACATTTATACTTGGATTGAACTAACACCACTCTTCCTTGGTTGCCTTCTAATTGTACTGTACACAATCCAGCCAGCGTTGACCCCTACAAATCCCACTGATTTTGGCAGGAAATTTGAGCATGTTGATATCAGTGGGGCTTAAAACTGCTTAAGTGTAGATTGTACTCAGTGTCTAATTAGTTTAAACTATGCCCACTTAGGTAAAGGTTTCCCTTGCTTGAAAGGTAGTCAAATCTGACTCTAGAGGGCGGTGCTCATCTCCGCTTCCAAGCTGAAGAGCCAGTGCTGTCCAAAGACATTTCCATGGTCATGTGGCTGGTGTGACTAAATGCTGAGGCACATGGAATGCTGTTACCTTCCCACTAAAGTGGTACCTATTCATCTATTTGCAATTTCTTACTTTTGAACTGCTAGGTTGGCAGGAGCTGGGGCCAGAGATGGGAGCTCACTCTGTTATGCAGCACTAGGTCTCGAACTGCCGAACTACAGACCTTCCGGTCTGCAGCTCAGTGTCTTACTGAATGTGAAATGTGTTGGTGGCAGCTGTGCAAAGGTAACTGGGCTGAGAAAGTTACAAGTCATCCTATGAAATTTTAGTAATATCACAACGTACAGAATAATAGTTTCAATGCAGTTAGGAATGTCATTTGCCTTTAGTGTTCAGAAAACCGTTGTGGGATTGTAGGTTTAGGAAGATCACATATTCAAGCAAATCTGATAATTTTCTTGAGACAACCATGTTTCTGAATGTGTTTAGCACTGTTTTACATCTAATTTTATTTCTTTTAATGTCTAGGTACTCAAGGAGCTACACCTAGTCCAGTGATAGGGCTTCAGGCGCCTTCTACTGGTCTTCTTGGTGCACGACCTGGTATGATACCACTCC